CTGATTACTGTGCTATTAGCGGAGGATTTTTTATCTTGCAGCTTCTATCTTATAAAAATTTCTAATTAAGAAGACAGTTCTCTATCTGCCTGTTTTAACACTGCAGGGTGACCATTAAGTATCAACAACCACACCAAAAGCTCTCACAACTGATTTCCGTCATTGAGTCAAATGTTGGCTCGTGGCTTCTAGGGAACCGATTTTGAAGTTGGAGTACAAGAAAAAGGAGTCTAAAAATCAGTAAGATTTATATAAGCTTAATCAGTTTCATAACAAAGATGGCGACTCCACAACCGCAATAAATTGCGTAGGCATACTTTTCTCCTGGACAGAAAAAGTATTGAAATAAAACTCTTACTAACCTCAGTAGGTGAATCCATCTTCTATATTATTCCTTTTTTTTTTTCCTTGCTAGGGAATCCGAAGAAGCTACACGTGTGACTTTCCGAGTGATGGTTGCAATCAGGCGCGAAGCTGTGCACCATTTTAATCGTTTCGATCGCCTTCGTTTCTCAGTTTTAGATTTCTATGACCTACAGCGTTAATAACAATGTAACTGAACCTTATTCTAAGCTTCTTTGAACCGTTCCAAGCGATGATTACACACTTGACCTCAGCAACGCATAGGTTATCAGTAGGACGCGCTCGATTGTTTAGAACAGAAATTTTCGCCCCATGGCAACGTGACGTCACACTTTAGGACTCTATGGTACTTCAGGATTAAGCACCGCCTGTGAACCACACGCCTCCAAGGGTTTCTACCCCCGTCTCAGAGAACCAACCGGCTGAACCTACAACGCCTACTACTTGGAGATCAACAACAGCTGTGTCAACCCAAGGAGGCCCTCCAAATGGTGACCGCTCTACAACCGAGTGTGTGACACGCTCAGGACGAATAGTGAAACCACCACAACGGCTAGACCTGTGAACTTTTAGCTATGCAAACTGGCATTAACTTTTTGTATTAGTATTGTTACATTCTTGTTGAGTTTACTGAACTGTGTACACAAGGTTACACTCAAACTTTGGGGGGAGATGTTGGATTAGTTGCTTATTACATCAGACTTCCGGTGTTCTAGTTATAAAGGCCCCGTTGCATGTTGGGGGCCATGTGCTTTGATGTTCGGCCATCTTGTATGTACTTCATCTGTGTACGGAATAAATCTTTACTTTGAAGCCTAAATATTACACTTTGCTTCACGAGATCGGAAGAAAAATCTGGTGTCAAATCTGTCCAAATTCTTAGAAGGATGTGACTGCCGCCGATAAACAAGGGTTCGTAAGTCATCCGTTTCTGTGTTAGGGTGTTCTAAAGGCGTGTTTAAGGAAAAATATCACTCATTTTATTGAGCGGTTTAGGAAATCAACCTTGTTTTCAAGCTGGGTGATATTAGTACGACCAATGACTTTAGTTCCCTTCTTAAACGTCATCCACGTAAATGAAAATACGCATTTTTCCTGTCAAATTTGATATCAACCAAATTTGACAGGAGACATCGCTTTAGTATAAACCTATTCTTAATTTTCTTAAATCAGATTCAGCGAAGTAAATCATACTGTTTCGTCAATATAATGAATTATTAACTTGATTTTCCTGATTGATTTTGATTGACACTAGCTTATGTAATTAAGCCACGTGAATAGTTCAGTTTTCAGTTCAGATACTTAAGATTCGAAGATACGTACAAGTTCTGCTAACCTGTCTTGCTGACCCGTGTTCTGTTATACCTTGAGCTGTTTCATCTGTTGCTGACCTGTACGTAGCTATACACCGTGAAACAATCCTACTAGACATCGTCATAGAAGTAAGTTCTCAGTGCTGTAATTCTGTCTAATAGTTTTACTCGTGTGTTTATGAATCGATGGATCCTGTTCAATTTCTCAAATGTATCTCGTTCTTTTCTTTAGATCGGATAATAATATATTGGAATAGATTATACGATTTGCGTAGCCTAGTTGGATTGACTGTTTGGTTTTGTTGGACCTTTTTTGTTAAACCTTGATAGACTCCGCCCTGATAAGCCTGAAGGCAAGTTGTTGATTGATATAGAGGAGACCCATGGACTTGAGTGTATGATTACAGAGCCAACAAGGATTCAAACAAGGGCTGGTAGGACTACCAAGACCCTCATTGATGTTATCTTGACTAATGAAGCACAGTTATTTGCTAGAGAACAGGTACGTGCACAAGGTATCAACCCTATGGAATTCATGGCACGACCCCTACACGAAGCTGGAAGACGAGGTGGAGTAGGACCGATTGTTGTTCCACCTTACACACCGCCAAGTTCGATACCTAGTTCCTACCTAGATACCTAGAAGCTCATCTAGTTCAAGAAGGCGTAGAGGGCAAGGACGGAGACGAGGACGGGGAAGGAAAAGAAGACCTCCCTCCTTGACCCCTCCAGGGTCAGGCAGACAGCGGCGGGCGGTGGCGGCGGAGACGATGATGCTGATGATGACGGTAATATCAGTAATAACGTTAGTAGGTACAGGAGAAATCAGAGATGGCAAGAATTGGTACGAGAACTTCAAAGATTGCAACGAGATAATATTGAAAAGGGTCGAGGAAGACAAATTGCCGGAGTCACTCACACCAATACAATAACGACCACATATAAAGACGGTGGTACACCCACCGTGAGTAGAACCTTCAGTAGAGTAAGCGATTAGGATGGAAAGAATTCATAGACAAAAACCGTTTTTAAAAGCCATTACTTCAGCAGCTAATAGAAACAGGAGAAACACTTTGATCAAACACGCCAACAAAGATCAAGTCAATGCCGTGAGTGAGATCGTGTTAAATTCACTCAAAAACAATGTGCCTGTCACACCCGTCACCATGGCCAGATTAAAACCTTACAAGCAAACCCTGAGAAAAGTTGGAAATTGAGCTGTATCGCTTAAAAAGAGAAGACAAGCATTAATAAATCAGAAAGGTGGAAGGTTGTGGAATGGTTTATCTACAGTAGTCAAGACTTGTTGTCGTTGACAGGGAAAAAACATGGCTTTCGAAAAGATGTACATGATTCCAGCCAAAGATCTGGCTATATGGTCAATCTTTTCAAAGGACGTTTGACGGATGATCCTACATTGGATTCAGCGGCTAAACTCATGAGTCGTAAACTGGATATTTTAAAGAATCCTAAAACAAGTCAAAGTTTCAAAAAGCAAGCTATCAAGCAGATTGATCCTGATATAGAGCTATACATTAAAAAATCGAGGCAACTACCAGCATCGCTATCAGTCAATGCAGATCCTACCATGTTGGCCAAATCATGAAAAGATGAAGAAGGAGATCTGGTCACTCCTGTGCAACAGAAGTTGCTTAAAAGAATTTTGAGCCAGGTCACACCCAAGAGAGAACCGGTCACCACACCCAGAAGGGCACCCAAGAGAGAACCGGTGACACCACCACGGACACTTCCCATCAAAATACTCAAAAAAAAACCAGCAACAGTACCAGAAAACGTACCATGGAGTGAATTACCGTTTGCTGAAGAAGGACCTGAACCAGATCTAGGAGGTGCAGTAAAGGAAACTTTCAGAAAGATGAGAAAGACACTGCGATACCTCAAACAGTCGAGACCAGCCAAAGGGTGGACAAGTTGGGATCCGTCAGGAAAAAAAAAAGAAGAAAAAATCCGAGAGTTCTATTTGGGGTTCTGTCGTGAAACCCTTAGGTTCTATTGCAAAACGATTAGCATTTGATGATGATGGTGGTGGTAGTAGTAGTAAAACTTGAAAATAATTTTTATTTGACATGTTTCTTTAAAAAATAAAAAAGACACCTATTTTTCATCTGTCTCTTGTCATAAAAATTAACATACAGGGGGATGGGGGGGTACCCCCTCCTAGGATACCACATGTCAACGGTGACAGATGAGCTATATAAAGGAACACCTTCATCACACGAAGTCGCATTCTTCACAAACCTTAAGCGCGAGTGAACAAGGTAAAACAACAACCCACAAGACGGCAAGAAGACGAAGAAAACAAAAGAGGTATCATACATGTCATAAAAAAACAATGTCTTTCGTCACCATCCTTATTGTATATTTAATATATATGTAAAAAAAGGATGGCTGAACGACATAGCAAAAGACTAAAACATGAAAAGCCCGATGCCGTCACAAGCGAGTACGAGTGTTGTGTATGCCACCTAAAATCTGAGACCTGTGAACGAAGTGTCCAATTCCCTTGTTGCAGACAATATGTACATCGTCGCTGTCAGATGAGATGGGAAAGGCATCACAATACTTGCGGGCTTTGTCGTGAACCTTTAAGTGGGTGTAACGACATGTCGCCAGCACCCAGTCAGACCAATTGGTCCTCTGACGACAACAACGCTGCCGCTGCTGCGGAGGCTGCTAGAACGGAAATCTTTAACCATCGATCCAACGTGGATACGGAGCACATTGCAAACGATGTCCTCAACATGACGAGGGAAGAGGTTATTCGACGTCTTTGAGAACTCATTGATTCTCCCACATTGGACAACCAATTAGAACGGGTAAGAGAGGATGAATTCATAATTCGATATTATTTTATCTACTCTGATACAGATCACCTTACCAATTGAGAAACAAATTTTCTTCTCGTAGATGCCTAATTTGGTGATAAAAATGATGATGTCTTATATGATGACAGTCGAGCAAACAACGATAAACGTGCGAGAAAGAATCGCAAATTACGCACCGTTGTACGTTTCATATGACGCTGAACGTCATGAACCTACATGGATGCAACGGCAATAAGAAAGAGCCAATAGAATATTTCATTTACATTTTGGTAGTCAAGCTTTATCGGAACGATTTCACGAAAGATTATTAGAACGATTAAATACTTTTTAATTTTTTCATTTCACTTCTTTTTTTAGACTCACGACCTGATCTTAAAAGAATAGAGTAGCAAAGCCATGACGTCACGTTTCCATGACAGCATTTTTCTCAGTTCTAAACAAACGCTGAGGTGTCGTTGTGTATGGCGCCATATTAATCATGACCTTATTTTCAATCTCTTCTTTGCTATCTTACTTCGAAGATGAAAAGAAATCTATCGCAAAAGGGGAGAACCACGTCAAATCTGATCATATAGAATGTTTTATGTATAATCAAGGCATTCTTAGAGGCAAAGTTCACGCTAGTATGAGATCAAAAGTCTACGAGGTTACGGTACGTAAGCTCTCTTGTATGTTTATGTTTATATTTTGTGAATCGGTTGGGAATCATTAGATCAATTATAAAAGCTACTCAATAGCTTTAATATCTAAATTATAGGCTCCGATGTATATGATATTGACTTCATAAAGTATAGCTCTTAGCGCCTCTAAAATAGGATCCGTTCGATGGCTGTTCGATTGGAGCGCTGAGAACGCCTGAGAGCTATTTACAACCAATAAAATCACTAAAAGAATAAAAATTTTTCTTCTACTTTAGATATACGTAGATAGTAACTTGAATATCAAGTCGACAGAGTGTGAATGTCCTAAGGGCGCTTTCAAGTGCAGTCATGCCGCAGCTGTGTTCATTTACGCCATACATCATGTTAGTCGTATGGACATCGAATGTCGATGGAACAAGCCAAAAAAGCCAACTTGCCCTGCAGTTCGGGACGTCACTGAGATGTTTCCTCCTCCGAAACAGTACTGTGCTCTATCGAGAGAACCTACGCAAGCAGATCGTTCATCCATTTACCGATCGTTATGTAAATATGGAAAGTTCACAGGACTATGGTGGATTCTGAGCCCTGAACCTGAACCGGTGACGTTACCAATGCTTACAATCGAAGAAATAATTTATTCTGATGGCTTCCTTCAAGCCCATGGAAAGGAAGATCAGCTCTCTTTTTTTAAGGAAAAATGCAAAATTCAAAGTAGTACTATACAAGAAATAGCAAAACTCACAGTGGGTCAAAGAGAGAATCCAGCATGGTCAATGCTTAGAAAGGGAAGACTCACAGCTAGTAATTTTGGTCCTGTCTTAGCAGCCAAGAGAGTTTCACAATCACTCTTGAAAAGACTCATGGGCGAGTATGATTTATCTGGAGTCAAAGCCATCACATGGGAAGTCAACAATGAAAAAGAAGCTGTGAATGCATTTGAGATGTCAAATTGTTTAAAAGTTGAACCAACAGGAATTTGGTTTGAAGAGTCAGGTATTCTTGGTGCCACACCTGATGGTCTAGTTGATCAAAAAGGTATTTTGGAAGTAAAATGCCCATATACCTTTAGGAATTCAACCATAGAGGAAGTTATAGAATCAGAATCATTCTATTTGGAGAAGCGAAAGGACAAAATTGAGCTTAAGAGGGATCACAAGTCTGGGTATTGGCATCAAATTCAAGGACAGCTCCATCTCACAAACAGAATGTATTGTTATTTTGTTGTGTGGACTGTCGAGGGCCACGTAACTTTGGTCATTCATAGAGACGAGGAATGGAAACCTAATCTTGATATTCTAAGAAACTTTTATTTCCATCATTACTATCCTAAAATGATTGAGGGGGAATTATTATAAGTGTGAATACATAAGAGGAGACATATACACTTGTACTCTTTATATTTATTCTACCTTATGTGGAAATGAGAAATTAAAAAATAATGTTACTGGTCAACTCTGTAGAACAATTGAAAAGATTGAAAATTATTAACTGTTAATGATTCTCTTCTTTCCTTGTACAGTTAGGATTATATGAACTAAGAAAATAATCATAGAATATCATAATTGTTAAAGTTATGAGGAATAACCTATATCTATCCATCTATCTCAATTGTTGGTAGACTACTTTTCCAAAATAGAGACAGAAACTAGAGTGATGCTTTCATGCCTATTAAAGTAAGAATCACACCCTAAGTAAAGAGCAAAAAGCAGAAAAAAAAGAATTGAAGAAATTGCCATAACTTAGACTTTTTATTACTGTAACTATTGAATCTTTGTAGTCATCGAAAACATGACTTGAGCCTCTCTTGAGAATTTTCTACTCAAAAAATACATTTGTACAACCTTCCTTGATTAACGGAAACTGCAAATTAACAAGAGCAGCACAAAGCTGAAAAATTTTTTGAGAATAGCATCTTAGGTAAGAGGGAATAAAACTTAAAATCTTAAAATCCTTTAACCTGGCGTTAGCCCTCTCTACATGGATTCTGCATTTGGCAATCGACTTAGTTACTTTTATTTCATTTTCAGTAAATTTACCATTGTTTAAGAATGGGGGAATATTTACAGACACACCACTCGGAACTATATCTTGGATTAGAAAGCCCTTGTCAGCAAGAACAAGATCTCCTGGATAAAGGTGTTTCAAAAAACCAGACATTTCCACTATAGCCTTATCTGAAGTTGATCCAGGGTAAAGGTTAGAAACATATGTTATGACCCCATTAGGTGCCACACCAACGAGTACTTTAAATGAATTCATACCTCTGTATGAAGAATAAGTTGCACTTTGATGACTCATTAGGCCAGGGGTTGCAACTTCAATGTCTGTGCAATCTATTGTGATCTTACAAGAACTGAACTGTGTAAATGATGACGGCAAACAAGTCTTATTTTTCTCCCTAGAAGGTACTGTTGACATCAAAAAAGTGAACAAAATCTCGTGCAAGAGATGAATAAATGTAATGACAATATTAGATATAGTAGTTTCACTGCATGAAAATAACTGAGCTATATGAAGGTTCGTGTAATTCTGTCTAATCTTTATTAAAGTTATGAATATCTGGTCTTCAAAACTTATTGATTCCACCTTCCAGCCATGAAAATATATTATTGAGTCTTTGAATCTTAAAGTATAAAGTACAACTACATCAAATACTTGCTTAGTTGGAAGACCGGTTTCCATGCGTATTACATCGTCACTTAACGTAGACACTGAGTATTTTTCTCTAAAATATTTTGACTTCTCTTCATGTTGTTGAAGGTCATTTCTCAGCTGCTTTACTTCTGCTTCAAGGATTATCTCCGAAGCAGTTAAATCGTTGAGTACGTCCCGTTCTTGATCTTCACTTTCGTTGCTCTGCAAGGCTTCTCTCATTTTTTCGATGTCGACTAATTCCTTGCCATCTGTACTTTTTTCCAATTTCTTCTTCTTCTTTGGTGGCGGTTTACTGCTAGAAGGGAAAAGTTTTCCTTCGTTGTGCTTAAAAATCTCTGGCCCAAATACCTTCTCGCCATTTCTGAAATGGCAGCTGCAAACTCGGCTGTGTTTGCTTGGTTCTCGATCTTCTCTCCTGTTGAAACATAGAGAGATGTGGAATGTATTTAGATCAGAGTTGGATTTTGTTAGAAGTAAATCGAAGGAAACAAGCGTCAATCCAACAAGTACCATGTTTATTAGTCCAAAAGCCACAATACTTTAGTTTAGCTGCGATATTCTGGTTTTACAGTATATATGTAAGTTAAAATACAAACCTTAATAATCTTCTCCATCGATCATACTCAGATTTTTTCTTTTCTTTGCTCGGGAATGCAAAGAAGCGACAGCAATGACTCTCAGACTGGTGATTACATTCGGGTGCGAAACACTGAACCATTTCGCCTAATTCTCCAATATTTTAGATTCTGCAAGATATTATGGCCTTATCCTTCTACTTCCAGCATAACTTGAATGTACCACGAGCGTCGAACAAGGAGTTCAAAGTCTGCAAAACGGAGCTTCACATGACGCTTGCGTCCGCCATATTGGATAGAACAGTTTGTTTAGAACTGAAAAAATGCGGTCATGACAACGTGACGTCATACTTTGCCACTCAATTACTCAAATTCTTATTACGTTGCGAATTCCATTCCGATCGTCATTTTTTATTAGAACAACAAATCATCTTTTTGTTCATGAGAACCATAAATGTACAATATCGCGATATGACGGTTGATATTCATTTCTAAGAAAACGATTTTCAATTGAACAGCATCTTTGAATATTTATATCCATGTCCAGATTATTATATCGTCGTCAGTAACAAAAGATATTTTTTTCCTAGGCACGAAAACAAGCTGAATTGCTGGTTTATATGTATTATTTTCACGTTAATAACAATAATAATTCTTCGTTTTAGGTTCTTCGCTATAAAAACGGAAGGTTACATGTTTTTCGATTCGGCAGATGATTATTATAGATATTTGGATCTATTGTTACTTATGAAAAACACATTTTTTCAAATAAAAAACAATTTTTTATTTTGACAACAACTGTGTTCGTGGTACTTTTGCAAAAATTCATTCTTGATATTAAACTGTTCAATGTCGTTTTTTTACTCAAAACCTCCCGAGCCTTTTTAGACTTCTTCATCATCTTTTTCACTGATACTTTCTTCCTCTTCAACGTCTGAGACTGAGATGGTTTCCTCTTTTTTGAAACTTTCTTTTTTTTTGCAAGTTTCAACTTTCTTATGGCTTTCATAAGTGATGGATTACCCTTTGAAGAATTATCCACCAAAGGTACTGTATCAGAAATAGCTCCCAATGCTCCCAACGGTAATTCCTCCGGCATTCACAGATCGTTTCTTCTTGGATTTACCCACTTTAGACGCACTATCTGTCAGTGAAAATGTCAAAACCCTCTTGACAGGTGGAAACGACACGCAATCTGCCATTGTTACAACTGACAAAAAAAGATATATTGACAACATCTTTTATACGATTTTTCCTATAAATTCAACCACTAATCACACACTTCTTTCATTTGTAAACATGGATCAAGAAGAAAAACAAAAACTCCTTCATGTCATTCAAGAAACAAACCAAATCATCGAAGATCTCATGCAACTCTTTGAAAGGACAGAAAAAAGCTTGCATCTTATCAAAGAAAGGAAAGAAAACATCGAAAAATGGACCACAAAATTCAACCAAATCAATAAGATGATGTACAACTACACCACTACACTCAGGATTCGAGGGAACTATCTCCAAAAACAACTGGACAAACAGCAAAACCATCTGCTAAAAGACTGAAAAAAATCCGCACCAAAAATGTTGTAAATAGAACCTTTTTTATTGTATTTTTGATCTTAGTACATTGTCTTTAATCCCCTTTAATGCTTGTTTTCCTAAAAGAAATCCCAATTTCCCAAAAGGTGATGGTCCTGATAAAAACATACTCCCACCCGCTGCTATCTTTTCCTGTAAAGACGGTCCTCTACGTAATATCCTACGAACCGTACTCGCTGAAACAGTTAGCCGAGTTTTACTGGAAATTGTACAAGCATGATGAGTTTGACTGGTTCAAAAAAGCCCTTCACTTTCAAGGTTGCCATCGGTGGTGATGGTGCACTATTTGGGAATATGATCAGTCTTGGTCATGGTTAGTCAGCTTTTTGAATGTTGGAAAATGTTTCCTGAGCAGTGATGACAACTTTTTAAAAAAGTTAAGTTTCAGTATGCTAAAATGCCAAATGGTATAGATATGCTTTCTTCCAAAGGGGGAGAAAACTAGCAACAGCACCATATATTTGTGACAACTATGTGACTTATATGAAAAAGTGCACATCAAGCCCCTGCACCTGAAAAATAATGGATGTGCCTTTCTCTTCACCTTAATCCTAGACTTTCCAATTGAAACATCCAAATTACCAGAGAAAATTAGTGGATTTCAGAGGGTAAACACAAGCTCTTCTTTCTCGAGGCTAATTACTAGCCTGAAAACAGAGGCAAGCCTTTCCAGCTCAGCGGAAAAGGTAGTCAGGTAGTTTCATGAGAGAAAAGGAAATCCTAGAGCATTTTCTTATTGATTTACAGGGGAAGAATCACATAGATTCGTGCACAATTCTGTGTACCTGATAAAGGCAATGGAGGTTGCAAGAGATCCCCAAACTGTTGGGTCTAAACTACGTGTTTACCTTCACATTGCCTTTTACTGCGTGATGTTGTCTCGCTGTTTTGTAGACTGCAAATTGACAAAAAAACAACTTGATAATCTTGAGAAAGCATGCCAGATTTTTTTTTGTTTCTTCAAGTAAACACTACAGTGTGGACCCTTGGCAGTGTCGACCACACTGGGGAGACGTTTCAAATGTACGCGAGGGGTTTGGCCCTTAACTCAATGAAGGATGGGGAGGCCAAACATCAAGTAACTTCCAGGTATGCCGAAAACTTAAATTCCGTGCATCGCTGAAAACAAGTTTTCCAACACAATTTTCTTTCCCTTTTGCGCAAACGATACCCTAAAAGGCACTGGTTATTTCGTCGATGCTTAAGAGGGTTCACCTTAAGAATCTGAGGTGAGTACTTCCCATTATGAGAAAAATGGAGGTGAAGAGGGAAATACCCCAGGGAATTGTGCAGTCAAACATACACACTTGCTATTCACCAGGGAGGGGAATGGACGAATTTGGCCTTCAGCTATTCCCCATTGAGTACAATGATGTAGGAAGAGCATTTGAAGGTCTCCGAAGCTGCGTAGTCATCCTTGTGGGAGTCCGAACTTCCTACACATGTGCATTGTGTATAGCCCAAATGACATCAACCGTGCTGTGTACACACCAATTTTTTTTGGTGTTTCTGCATTTCATTTTCACAAAGATGGAGCTGCTAACCCATGAAGCTAAAATTAAAGGGAAACATTTGGCATCCCTCAAGCTGTTCCTCCAATCTTCTAATAAAATCCCCTTGTCTAGCAAAAAAATGCAGATGTTGTCCCCAAAGCTTGCTGAGGCCCTTGGAATGACATCACAAAAGATTAACGACATTAACTATGTGAAGTTTATTTGGTGGCATTTCTATCAGATGTATAGGATACTGAGGAAAGATACAGCTCAACTAAAGCCAGGGCATCCAAGTAGTTCAATAAATGTTGAAGACTATGAATTTGGATTACACGACTCTGAAATTTCCAGATATGTTTATCATGCCAATATGTTCCATGCTTTGATGATCTTCCGTTATGGCTGCAAAGAAGTAACTCCCTACATGATGAAATTTGTGGATGTTGTCCCAAAACATCTCTGCAGCACCCCATTCAAGTCACTCATGCGTGTAGCAACTGAGGGTGGAGAACGGACTCATTACATGCATATTTGTTTTTATTATCAGGTATGCAAAACCAACATTTACAAATGACTACTAGTATTGACAAGTGTGGGGTCTAGTTCCTTACTATCATATTCTTGACAAAATCTTTCTCTTTCCTTCCAGCATTCAACACGAGATGGTCGCCTTCACAAGCCTGACACAATTGTTATGCTGTTGTCTTGGTCATACCGAAACTTGAGGGAGAGAATAAATGACTGCCCTGAAAAGATTAGGACTGACTTTGAGCATTATGCACAACAACATGTTGCAGCATGTACAATTCAGAAGTGGTAAGTGTCTATAATAAGATAAAAACACCATCCAATTTTCTATATTTAATTACTTTCATAGTTAAAACCAATTTTCCCTAACTCAAAGTCAAACCAAAATTACAAAATTACAGTATATATATATTTTTTTTTAATTACAGGTGGAAGATTGTCCATACCAGACCAAATCCTCCATTGGATGTGTCTGGTGCAAGTGTGGTTA